TAGGATATTACGCCTAAAAGAAGAGAACCTAGGTCCCAGACAAAGCAGAATGTTCTTCTTTTGCAGCGGAAGGCGCGCTCGATGTGACTTTCTGAGGTCCTACAGAATCGAGGCTCCACCTCCATTGGGAGGTCTGGGAGCTCCGCCTCCACACCAACGTTCCCTTATGCTAGACAACGCTGCTTATGTCGCCATCCTTCTCTACGCTGAATAAATGGATACCATTCTAAGCGAGCCTTATCAGGCAGTATCTCGTTTTGATTAAAGTGACGTATAGTCTTTCTCGTTGCAGACCCTGGAGCTCGTCAGAAGGCTGGGTATAGCGCAGCGCTAGCCCGTCTTCCATCAACGGGACAACTGGGGGAGAACGGGCTGGCGCCACGCCAAACCAAACCCCTTTGCTCGTGCCAGCCATAGGTCGTAGATTCATCCAAAAGATCTTTGTCTGAGTGCGGTGTTATGGCCCTTTTTTCCGCGACCCTTGACAATTTTATTCCATCTCGCACTATTCAGCACCTCTACCTTTATTCTAGATGCCCAAAGTAGCATGAGCTTTCACGGATCTGTTTGTGACTTCAATGGGCGATCTGATCAGCTGAGAGGATTGGCCTCGTCCCCTCATTCTTTACAATAAAACGCCAGACGTTACGATGGGAATCTGCCCGAATGCACTATGGGGTCACCGGACTGACGTCCAACAAAGTGTTCTTCTCATGTTTGCCTGCAAATCTGTTAGTCATCGGTCGGAAAACTATGGGCAAAAGATGCTATCGCTTGTTTGATCGCATCGGTGAGCCGTTCATTTCGGCTGTAACCTTTCTCTTCCGAACACTTGTCGCGCAAGTGTTTTCCCATTTGGCCAGAGCACTTTTATTTGTTCCATTTTCACCTACTCCATTGGCATGTGGAACTTGTCAGTAAAGAATCGCATAAAACTATTTTCATCATATATGGAGAGAATTTTCATTTATTTGGCTTTTTTGAGCATAATCCATGCCGTTATGTTTATATTATTCATGCATGCATGCTGGTATGATGCATTTGCATATTTATTACACATGAACTTCCCAACAGGCGCCAGTCGACTAGGAGGGTGGAAAGGGAGCTGCAACGGGGAACAATTTTGCAAAATTCCCCCTTCTTCCGAAATTTCCTTCACTAATACGACATGTAAAAAAATGTGTTCTTCTGGCAAGTATGCCCACTCAGACTGCGTTCATTCTTTGCGGCAGCGTCCAAGCGTCTGTCAGCGTCTGCCAGCGTCGCCAGCGGCGGGTCCAACCACCGTACAACTACCCTCCCTACACCGTACACTAAATTGCATAATTCTGTGCTTTAGCATTGTGCGGTGCGGTTGCACACGCCGCAATTTCACGACGCCTAATCCAGCTGTTTGCTATCTCCTATTCCTCTATACACTCTACTCTCGGTAGCTGGTGAACGGTGATGACGCAGGCAGACGCTAGATCGATAACTATACTCTCTAGTCACTGACGGTGCCGGACGCTAGTGGTCGCTAGTGGATGCTGGTAGACATTGAAGCAGGTATGAACGCAGCCTCACGGGTCTCCTGGCAAGTATCCTCTGACCACCATCTGTATAGACCACTAAATATGACATTTAGTTAATAAACAAAATCAATTAGAGACCGTCGCCTGTGTTCTGTAAAGACTGAATCGAGAAGCTGCTCGAAAGATGTGAACTTGTCTCAATGTGTCTCATCAATGGTGAATACTCCATAAAAAGAAACTTATCTATTGCAAAACTAAAAACGCCACCAGAACAATATTTCCTATTTTCAACTAGTTCTGCAGCTTTCCTGAAGACCGCTAGTTTAGAAGATATTTTAGATGGGTCACCCTTGGGCGACATTCTGAGCCACTCAAAAGCTCGACTCCTTCTGTGCCATTGTAAGGATACTCATTCGCGAACTTCAATATTCCTTAAAACCCGTTGAGCTGAGTCAAATAATTTGGTTGAAGCATATTTTGGTTGATAATTTGGTTCATTGATCGGTTTGGTCCGAGTGTGCGCCGTGCATTACGCTTCTACGCAGAGGTGGTGGAAAGGTGTAACTTCTGATTTTAGGTGGCTTCCCCATGCAAGCAGACGTTTGTTTAGGGTTTGGAGAGGTTGATACGCAATAATCTGAGACCTGAGAATCTGTGTTATTTAGTCATCCACATACTTACAAGTTCATGCTAACTATTGATATTGCTAATTAATTGTTTTAATATTTTGTAGTCTTCCTTACATCCGGGTCCTCTGCAGCTTTCCGTCCGCTCCATCAAACTTAGCGATGACACCTTTTGTGCTGTTTGGTGCTCACCGACCCTGCGTTTACGACCACCCCCCTTCCCCAGCGGCCAAGTACGACCCCCTGAGGGGTTTCGCCCATCGATGCTGTTCCCTGAGGATAAATAGTCCGTCGTGACGTACATAGTTAGGTGCGACGTCTTCTGCACCTTCTCGTCAAATTACTGTAATCCCATTGTTGCACAAGAAGTCTTGCAAAGCGGTGTGCTTCGATACCGTACTACCTCTTCGGTTTTTGCCGAATGTTTGACATCATTTGCCGCTTAACCCTACAAGGAGCTCCTTCTCCTTTGAGCATAGATAAGAACCTTTTCGTGGCCTTTCATAATGAAAGTAAAGCAGTATACTGGTTCTCAATTCCTGCACCAGAACGCCCAGTAGATAAGACTAACAAACGTATTTCAGGGGGAACCATGCGGCACGCTGCTCCCCTGCTCCCTCTTCGCCAAGATAGTGTACAACCTATATTGGATTCCCAGCATATTTCGAGCAGTAAATTGATCGTTCTTGAATAGAATTGTGAAGTGCAGCCACCGGAAACTTGTTGAAAACCATAGCTTTTGCTGCTAATTTTGTGCCTGTCTGTCTGGTAGGGCGCTATTAGAGTAATGGGGGCGGGACTGTTAGGTTCTGTGCAGCATCCAAGATATTTGATAGTATCATTTCGCATGCCTCATACCTTTCATAAGTCTCCAATTCTTATGAAGCATTGAAGTTCCAATTATCTGGTTATTAGTGACGTCGGGCACGGAAGGCCATAACTCGCGTGCGATGGTCGCGACGTCGCGCGCGACGCTTCACACTTGTTTCTCGCTGTCTTCGTTCGTTAACGCTTAATCGATCACCAACTTCTCTTTATAAAAATTACCCAAAATGTTCTCAAACAAATATGAAAGCTGTTTCAGAACGATAGCACTGACCGTCATCTGGAACGTCAGACATCGCGAGTGGGAGGCTGAATCAACTGCCTGACTACGGGTGACGTGACATGCTTCATCGTCGTGGGCACAGAATTCTAAACATCATTATATCAATATGTCTGGTTAGTTTTATAGTCTTCCCGCAGACTTGTGATCGTTTTTCTTATCATTTTTCAAAGATCAGTTGTAAATTGACCGTTAATTTCCAGTTCGGCTTATTTGTCGTTATCATGAGGGGACCGTCCACGGACAGTATTCTTTCGGAAACGCCTTCATTCCCTGCAATTCCTGACATTATTATTCGAACCACAAAAGAATTGGAAGCCGATTTAGTCAATGATTCTGTGGCTGATTATGGCAGTGAACAGGACATGTCCTTGTGGCCATTTAACAGTGAGTTTAGCTTTGTCCATTCTCGAACTGCTACCAATTTTTTATGTGATAAAAATACAGTTCTCCACAATCAGATTGACAAGGCGCGTCAGCGTGACGTGGTTTTTGGCGCTGCGCCAGCGCCAGTAGTCGTTGCCAGGTCAGGCGAGTTATGATTGGTGAAAAATGAGCTGGCGTCGCTCCAAAATCCACGTCACACTGACACCCTTCGTCTATTCGGTTGCAAGGCACTATAACTTTATACACTATTACATTTTATACTCCAAACTTCCACAGATAGGTCCAACTCCATTTTGCAAGACAGTTCTTTTACTTGATCAGTTTTCCCTTCATGATGTTTAACTCGAAAAAAGTTGGAAAATGTCCGACCAAGTTTTGATTCTTGTTTTCACGAGAGCGGGAGAGGAGGGGTAAGGGCATTCTCTAAACTCACGCCGACGTACAGCGAAACTTTGTTAAATCTTGTTAAACTCTTGTAGGGTACGTCATACGTTGGGGATCCTCAGAAAGGAGGAAGGGTGGGGGTCGTACACGTCTTTGAGAAAAATCTTCTCGGTTGTCAACTTTACTCGGTTTTTGAAGTTTTCATGTGTCCCTCTCGCTCAACGACTTGACGGCAGTTTTTGATTAAAAACTCCGGAAAAGTGGCAGGAAGTTGGGGAAATTCAGGAAGATGGTGGGAACGATGGGGATGAGGAAGGGAGATCGTACCGAAACTATTGAGGGGGGGGGTACATATAACCTTCCTTGTGAGACATTTCAAGAAAAACGCAATAGAGAAGTTGGAGCGACAGTGAGAAAAAAACAATGAGTACATGGTAAATGACGTAGTCAAATGACTAGGTTCGGTCAGTCCGAACTCCCGGGACTTGAGCAAGCATTCTTATCCTCTGGTAAAACTCGCTTTTCGCACCCTTCGGCGCTAAATGCCATCTCATGCAAAAAAGGGAAATTAATGGAAATGAAATAAAATAAGATAAAATAAAAAAGATTGCAAATGAAATTTGCATCTTTTATGGCTTCCCTCACATATAGGTTTTACAAATGTACCCGATTGTTGTGGATAGAAATTAGAGATTTTCATATGCGATCGAACTGATAGGAGAACTGAGGATTTGTAGAGTTCCGACCACGCCTGCAAATCGAGGACTGGTGTGATCTCTGATTGAGTCACGAGTCAACAAAAACCCTCTTTTAAACTTTCAGCCGTCCATCGATTAGAGGCGCTGGCGGTCACAATCGCGCGATTCCAGAATCGCACATACTGCAAAGTATGAACGCGGCCTTGGTTCTCCACATTTCCTACCACAACTCGAGCTTTTTCCGTATTTTTCCCAAGAAAATTGCCGTTCGAGCGCGGTAGGAAGGAAGGGAGAAGGGATACAGCGCACGTTAAACGAGGAAAACCGGAAAACCGAGGAAAGTCAACGACTAAAAACGTTTTTTTTTCGAGGGCGCAAGTAAGCTACTGAAAACGGCCCTTTCCTGGGGATCCCCATCGTACGATGTGCCATGGTCAACATGTAGCGCCAGGGACAGAAACTTAGCATTGGTTCAGCTAGAGATAAGCTTGCAAGTTGCAGACGGGCTGAATGCTGTCTGCACGCAGGTGATTCATGTTTGTATTATCACCAGCTCGCATTCTGGGCGTTTTTGGTTTCGATTGCTTGAAGGAGCCTCTGCGTCCAGATTCCAGCTGCCAGCTTTAATCATTTCATTTTTGCAGTACAAAAAAAACTTAAACAAAGAAAAAATTTTTTATCGAATCGTCATCCCATTTACTTTTTTCTAAAGGCTTTGAAACGTTCTAAAGCAAACATTGAAGACTTTAAAACCGGTTTCTTCCTCACAATACTGCATTTGAAGTGACCTATTCAAAGTCTGCACATTAGCTATGCAAAGCACCCGTGGAAAGTTTTGAAGTGCTGGACAGCGCAAAGAACTTCAAGAGCTGCTGAGAGCAGTCTAAAACAGCGGAATCAATCCCGTGAGCACTCTCAAAGGTCTTGTAGAGTTGATGTCTTGAAGAATGAAGGCAACTCTCAAATCCTACAACAATCCGGTCTGATATCAAGAGCCGTTCCGTTGTTTCTTGCGTTCAAATTATAAACGGTTGCGTCAGAACTGTGGAAATGCGATTTTGAGGCCTGTTCAGATTTCCTCCGGTAGTATACAACTCCCATTATGGTGGGAAGAGGGAAGGAAATTGAGTGGTTTGACAGCTTCACTGGACAGGTTTTCTGCGATTCTTGTTCAGTTCGAGATTCTTCTGGATTTATCAACTGCACTTTTACCCAGAGGCCAGCGCGTGAAAAATATGAAACTTCGGCGCTGTTCGGCTTTGCGCGGCAGCTTGCCATTTTCTTTTGGTACATACGTCACACTATGATAAGAACTGTAGATTCTTGTCGAGGATGAGTAAAGGTTTAGCTCTTGCACAGCTTCTCAGGCGCTCACAGGTCTCCAAAGGAGTCATCCGCAGTATCGATGGGAGATAGCAAAACGACCAAGCCAAATTGCACCACATCCTTTTCTTCCAGGGGTCCTACCTAAAATGTTCTCCAAGATTTTTTTGTTTTTTTCTTCCTTGTAGGGTCACTTAGCAACTATTAGCTCACAAAGGAACGCCACTACCTAAAATATGCGATCGCGGGTTTGTTTTCAAAACGGGAATTTTTGGGTCTCCAAACAGTCAGTGGTATTGGATCCACGTTCAGGCTAAAAATGCAAGATGACTATTCCTTGTTAGGAACGAGAGTATCCTAGAGGATTATTTCAGTAAAGAAAGCAGATAGTGAGCGTAGCTGATATTTCGGCCAGTCGACAAAATGATAGCTCTCCCAGGAATTGAAGTTGAATTAGCGTGCGGTTATCGTGCAGTTATTGCCTTGTTATTTACTTTACCGAACTCATTTCTTTTTTTTTGATTTGTGCACCTATTCACCTACTCATCTCTCTATGTTGCTACATTTTTATTGCTTCACCTCT